TATATATATATATATATATATATATATATATATATATATATATAGAGAGAGAGAGAGAGAGAGAGAGAGAGAGAGAGAGAGAGAGAGAGAGAGATATTGCGAGTCAGTTCGCAGTTTGCGATGTACAGTGCTCGAGGAGTGACAACAGCGAGGTTATTTGCAGTTTTTTCAAGGTTAGACACATATTTCATTAAAGGCAGTTCTTTATTTCCACAAATGCGAGTTAGTTCACACTTTTTTAGCAACACTACTAGAGAGTTGACAACCCAACCCGTGCGGCTTTCAGGTCTTCAGTTCCACAATTCCGATTTAGTTCGTACTTTCCCCTAGTGTTGCGCATCGCCATTATTGTCTTGTCTACAGAACTGCGAGTTAGTTCGCACTGGTTGAAACCCTTCGCAATTGTCGATAAAGCAGGAGTTCAGTTCCACAATTCGGAGTCAGTTCGTACTTTCCCGTTGTACTTCGGGTTGCAGTTGTCGTCCTGTCAGCAGAACTGCGAGTTAGTTCTCACTTGTCGATTCACACTTGTCAATAAACCACATCTTACTCGTTTCGAACATCTTTCAGGTCTTCAGTTCCACAATTCCGAGTTAGTTCGCACTTTTCCCTAGTGCAGCGGGTTGCCATTGTTGTCTTGTCTACAGAACTGCGAGTTAGTTCGCACTTATCTACACCCTTCGCACTTGTCGATAAACCACATCTTACTCGTTTCGAGGGCATCTAGTTGGGTCGCAATCTTTCCGAACAGTTATCGTCTTCCCTCCGAACTTCTGTCTTTCCTATCCTTCACCCGATTGTTGTGACTTCGTGTGCATTTTGAACACCCATCTCTTACGTCCTTTTCGTCCTCCATTTCGTTAAGTCCGAGTTAGTTCGCACTTCGCTTCTGTAGTGGTCTGGGGTTGGGCGTATTAGTCATCCGAGTTGGTCTGAGGTTGGGCGTGCTAGTCAACGGGTGGAAAAAGAATGGCGTCCGCAAAGAACACATCCACAAGCGCTGGACCATCTGCCCCCGGGGGAGGACGACCTGTACAGCAACCTACTCCTCACTATATGCACGCAAAGGGAGCACAATGGTTTTTGGACTTTGTTGTTCAGGAGGACCTTTTTGGGCCAGCTGTTTTCATGCGACCCACTTGCGTTACTGACGTTGGGGGAGCGGTCAACGTTGTTCCTCTCGGTACCGTCGTCTCGTGCGCGAAGACTCCTGGAGGTTTGCTCAAGCTGCACGCTAACGACATGTACGACGAGTGCAGACTGCCTATCAGAGGTGTTAAAGGTGTGTTGGTGACCATCAAAAGTTTCGCGGGGAACGGCTCGAACATGCCGTTGTGCTCTCACTTCAAAGACCTTTACGATGGCGGCAACAAGCGTCTTCCATCGCCAGAGCAATATCTTGATCTTGCGTTGATGGTGCCCAGAGAACGTCCGCTTCTTCCGCCAGAGCATGTTTTCCGGCTTCTGCCACCCCGTGACGGGTCGTCCGGCTTGGCTCAAGAAACTCCAAGTACGGCAGTGGGGCGCGGGAGTCCGATTCAAGACGCTGGGGGTCGGGTCAAGGGGCGCAGCGTTCACACGCAGGTCGGCCCGGATGCTCCTAGGAACACGTCGGACTTGCATTCTCTGGGTACAGGGACTCAACGGGTCGGTACCCCGAAACTTATCAAGGTCCGCTGCGGCGCCGACACGTATTCGCTTCGAGATGAGACGTAAAGAGATTCAAGCAGATCGGGGCTAGATGTTGGAGGGAATGAGGCTGAAGGGATGGGCGTTGTCCGCGAAAGCTCTGGCGGAGAGCAGACTTCTTGGGAGAAGAAGATCGAGCGACAGAGGATGGTGCGAGAGGAGGTGGCGGAAGGAACCCTCTTCATGAAGAGGATGAGAGGAAAACCAGAGGCGGGGATGGGCGGGGATGGAGGTGGCGACGGAGAACGTGCCTCGGGAAAAAGGCCGACGAAGGAAGAGGGAGGGACGGCAAGTAAGAAAGCGAGGAGGCCCGACGGTTTGACCATCCGCGAAGGACAAGCCGCGAGTGGAGGAGATTCGGCTGATCCAGGCGCTGCGGACGCGAGAGAACCTTCGGGGAAATCGAAACGGAAAGTGGCAGTTGAAGAAGGCGATGGCGAGAAGAAAACTCGAAGGCGAAAGACTGCTGAGGCGGCGAGCGGTGGCGAAGGGCCTGTCGGTAAGGAGTACGACGAAGCGGCAGCGTTTTAGCTCGAATACGAGCGGAACGATGTCGGTGAAATCGTGGAGAAGGAGCTCCCCGTCCAACTGCTCATCGACCCCAGGAAGGTCTGCGAGATCCCGGCTTGGGAAAAATATTACAACCACCGCAGTCTAAGTCGCGAAACTGTGGACGACATCAAGGGTACGATGCTGAGTCAATTCCGCGAAAAAAAGATCTGGACGAAAAACCCTCTGGTTTTGACACCCATCTACAAGTCAGTGTCGCGTAGGCCGGAGGAAGCTGACAGGGTTCACAAAGATGTCTTCAAGCCAGAGGACAAGGACAAGTACTACTATTACCCTGTTAACGGATAACACACCGTGGCTGCTGTGAAGGAGTTGGAGGGTGAGCCAATATTCAATTTGTGGAAGATGCACTCGTGGACGGCGAGTGTAGTGTGGTTTTCCGACCGAGATTTCGCGGGGTATAGGCCAGTCACTCTCAACGAGAACACGAGACACAAGATGTCTAAGCAGCGATCGCAGAAGGCCGCGTTCTTGGACATGCGGGAGGCATGGGAGAATGAAGGAAGGCCGGTGRYCATTCAAGGGAACCCTTCYGGCAAGGARGCCGAAAAACAAAAGTTCTTCGATTTCCAAAAGCTGATTTTGGGAAAGAGTCCGAACGGAGCTCACTGGACGTTGGCACAAAAAGATTCGTCGCTCGCCAACAAGGAGTATGTCGCTGCAGTTGGCAATGCATTGAGGCAGTGGATGCCGCTCGTGATGGCCGGTGACGAGGTTTTTCGCAAAGCCATGGAATTCTACGCGAAATGGGCGGAGGGGAAGTTGTTGGGCGGCGACAGCAAGACGCCATTGTCGAGGCCGGGCAAATACATGCCAGACAAATCTCCGGGTCTGCAAGCAATTCCGAAAATGGGCTCGAAAGGGGCGGCTGGTGAAACGAAGATGGGGTGGTTGGTCCGGGTCCCGCCGCCTCCGACCAAAAAGAAAACGCAAGCAGACGATAAGTTTTTCGTGGTCGTGAAGGAGCCAGACATTTTCTCTTGGCAGTGTCTCGCCGACATGACCGATGCCGAGAAACTGTCGATCCTTGACGACATTCTCGCGCTAAGGGAAGTGTTCGTGCAATCCACGGGCGGCCATCTGAAGCGTTAGCACAAACCAGGAATTAAAGACATGGTCGCGACGAGGAAAGTGGACCGTGTGATGCTCTGTATGTTCCACTACATCTTGTTCCTTGAAACAGAGGAGGACGAACGTGTTTGGCGCCACGGGAGCCCTTTTTTTCGGACCGAGGGGAAGCTTCTGGAGGAGTACGGGYCGCAGGGCCTCACGAAACAGGTGTGGGTCGAAATGCGAAAGCATTTCCAGGGCGCGGTGGAGTATGTGAACACTTGCAAACGTACTCTTCCGCACGAGAAGGAGTTCCTCGACGACGTGAAGAAATTGTACGATGATGACAGGCTCCCTAAATCTTTCGAAAAGTCTGTCCGTTCCATCTTGCGACGGACGGAAGAAGAAGTTCGAGACAGGATCAGGGCCAGCGGGGATGTGAGGCACATCAAATGGCCCGACCTCAACCGGGTGACCAGCCTTATTCCTTTCGCTTTCCCGCCTTCCCAAGCTCACAGTCATGTCACTGCGATCCGTGAGGTTGTGCGACATTACATGTGCAACCTGTACGTCCTCGATTTGTGTGATCCCACACTCCTCACAGACTGGCAAAAAAACGATTTCGCCAACTTGCAAGGCCTTCTACAAACACTTTCGCCAACGCACTGAGCATTTGTGATATTTTTCCCCTCTCGTTGGGAGCTCAGTTTCTTGAAAGTCATGGCCAGGCTTAGCGTCCATCACGTCAGGACAGGGAAGTGGGTACGTAATGCGCAAACGCAGGCCACTGTCCGGGAAGGAAATATGCTGATTGAGGAGTGCGACCGCCTGTACGTGATTTTTAATGGCGAGAAGCTGGAAGATAACACATTCGCAGTCTACCCGGCTAGTAGCCCGATAAAGGTTTCCCGTGCTCATGGTCCAAGTCCGGCCCAACACATGGTGGTGGGCCCATCAGGACAGGTTGTGGCATGTTTCGACGTGGCGGAAGAGGAAAGGTTCTCTCGTAGCATGTGGGAGGACGGCGGCGTGACAAGTTCTCAAGGACCTGCTTACGGGGAGATGGAGTGGAACCCGTCCCGTCTACTTGGTCTACTCGTAAACTTTTGCAAAGCTGGTCAAACTGTTTTTTTCTTTGGGAAGGCGCATGCGTCTCTCGTGTGGGAACTCCTGCGCACTGGTCGGAACGTCGTCACTTTGGAGAAGGCGGCGAAGATGATCGATTACCTTCACGAGTTCGTGAAGGCACGCGTTGCAGATACTCGCAATGCTTGCGAGTTTGCCCGCACCACCGGCGAACGAAACTGGGATCCCAAACGTGACATGTATTGGAAATTGTCGGGGAACAAAAGGACGGACGTTTGGGACTTCCTTTTCGGACCCGGACCACCTGGTCCGACCGACCTCGAATACAGTCGACGGAGAAACCTGGTGTTCGCTGTGCTCAATGGGTACCACGGTGCACCCAGGGAGTCTGTCTCGCACTTCCTCAGAAGTCTGGAGCACGTTTACTTCACGCTGTCCGAACCACTCACTCTCGAAAACTACAAGTCACAGTTCGACGACGAAGACCCTTTCGACGCTAACGACATGGAGGAGCTGAGCGACTCCGAAACCTTCGATTTCGAGTCCATGCCACTTCCTCGGGTGGTTGGACAGGTTGGTGATGAAGAGGAAGGTGGCCCTCGGAGATATAGCACGTCCCCTGCCAGTTTGAAGCGTGTGTTTCGGGGCGAACGAGTCGACGACCAATCGTCTGATGACGGGGAGGAAGAGAGAGACTATGATCACGAACCTTGTGATAGGCTCCCTGTGGACCATGACACCTGGCAGAATGACAGACTCTACTTCTTTGGCAAGCATCACCGGTTCATGTCGGAGGATGTCTGGGGACACAACGTCGTCTGGCACCCGAGGATATTCCAACCTGCTGTGAGGAATGGAATATGGGTCATGGCAATAAAGGAGGCCGATGGCAAGTGGAGTGGACTGAAGAGACTGGGAGCGGGTGCATTTAAGAGAAAGGCAAGAACTGCTCTGGTGGAGCATTTGAGTCTCATGAACCCCGAGAGGAACGATCAGGACGTCGATGCGTATGCATAACAAAAGCTACATGAGTTGTACGCCAACAACATGTTGGAGTTTCGAGCGCCTTTCTACGCACTCGAAATAGCACCGTCTCGTGGCATTGACTGGCGCATGCCGCAACCTCCGCCGGCCGGTCAGCATCCGGGAAGGGGTGGTGGAGGAGACGAAGGAGACAGCGGAGGTAGCGGAGGAGACCGCTCACAGTTTGTCGGAAAGGGGACGGGCGAGACATCGTCGGTTGAGAAGGCGTCGGGCGGAAAGGGGTCGGGCGGAAAGGGATCGGGCGGGAAGGGGTCGGGCGGGAAGGGGTCGGGCGGAAAGCGTAGAACGTCCGGGAGTCCCCTGTATATGGAAACTGACCCCCACTGCATAGGGAGTCGAGATTCCGACATGCGAGACGAGGCCACCCGGACCTCTGATCAAGTACGATTAGATTCGCACTTGTCTGCGATGAGTTTGTTTCCCCTTGGTCAGGAGAGTCCATCCCGCCGTGCGCAGCAGAGGTCTCATGTGCTCAACACCTTGCTCTTGAAAGAGGGCGCGCCTTCGTTTTGCCTGGAGGGCGGGATGCCTGCATTGCGAAGGAGCGAAGGTGCGACCTCCGGTTCCCTCGGCTCGGGCGACCGCCACAAACTCCAAATACATTCGGATTTGCTGTCGTCGCCCTACGCCATAAGTGCTCCTCACGCAACAGTTCCACGGGGCCAAGAAAATGGGACGTCCTGGCCCCCGCATCTTCAGTTGGACACAGGGTTACCCTACTCGCCTCCTTTCTCATGTGTTGAGACTCGAGACTGGCGGTCTCGCGACGTGCTAAAGGGGCCCGCTCCAGGTGTTGGAGACCGGGGGTAGCGAGAACGAACGTCACACTCCTGGCAAAGACGAGCGCTCTCCGGGAACGCGTGTTGTACATCGAGAAGAGGAGACTCAACGCTGGCAGTCTCGCAAAGTGTTGGAGACCGGGGGTAGCGAGTGTGAACGTCATGCTTCGGAGGGTGCGTCAGTGGACACTGACAACGAGAGTGCAGGAGCTCCGGGGAAACGCATGCTGTACAACGGGGAGAGGAGACTCGACACGGGCCGGCTCATGAAAACTTGAAGTGGCTCCACGCACGAGCGCTGGTGATCGGGACGTCCGAAGAGGTTCTGCACAGTCGCTCGGCTGTGGCCACGACGTGAGAGGGTGTCGTTAAGGGAGGTAAGTGGACGTTCGTGCAAGCTCCCGTTCTTGGCGACGATGAAGACGAAGAAGAACCCGTGGTGGAAGCTCGGGTTCATGGCGATGAGAAAGGCGGAGAACCCGTGGTGGAAGGCCGTGAGGTGAATGTCGACATCCGGACGGATCCACAGCGGAAAGATGGTGATTCTTCGCCCACCCGTTGCAGTGAAGAACACGGTGGTCGAGCTTCTGTCCCGAGCACCGCTCGGGGAATGGTGCTTCATGAAGCCACAGAGTCGGGTGACGACTCGGCAGCCACCGAGTTGGTTAGCGACTCAGGCGTGGCCGAGATGCAGAACGTCGAATCCTCCGTGGAAGGCGGCGAGGTTGTCGTCAGCATGAAGATGAATCCAGAGCGGAAAGATCATGATTCTCCGTCTACCTGTTGCGGCGCCGAACAGGGTGATCGAGCATCTGTCCTCAGTACCGGTCGGGAAATGGTGCTTCATGAAGCCATCGACTTGCCAAGCTACTCAGCTGCCACTGAGTTGGTTAGCAACAAAGCCGTGGCCGAGGCCCAGAACCTCGAATAGTCCGTGGACGTTGGCGCAGTGGCGCGACAGGAGGGCGAGTTCCCTCAAAGGGCTTCCGAGCACGGTAAGATTTGTGAATAGGACCACTCGCATATCTGTCACTAGCCAGCTCTGTGTTCGTCCAAATTGATGTCATGGGCTAATGTACCTGTTACCATTAGTTAAAAAAAAACTTGTGGGTTGTGGGTTGTTTTCTATGTTCTACAGGTATGAGGTTGTTAATGTCCCTGCCGATGAAGCCTTTAAAAGTCGTGCGCGAGAAACGTCTTTCAGGGAGGTCATTGGCCGCTTCACCGAAGAAGTCGTCAAGTATAGGGTTGTTTAAAAGGGTCCAGATGCCTCGCCTTTCCCAGAGAGCTGTCACGGTTTTGAAGGCTTGTGGAATAGATAAGGAGGAAGGTCTGCGGAAACATTTGGCTGCGTCTATTGAGAGCGTTACTGCTTTGTCTGACGGGTCTGATGACGATGGCAAACGGGGTGTCTTGAAAGACCCGTGTCCTAAGTACATCGCGAAGGACACATTCAACAAGCGGGGATACAACTTTTCTGGGAAAAGGGCAGACAATTCTTAGCCATTCCACCACGGGGTTTGTGCTCACTCCTCACACTTGTTCGTGGGTGTTTGTGCAGCTGGGGCTACATCATGTTTTCCCGTTCCGTTGCTTACTGAGGAGCTTAGCGCTACGGACTTGAGAATGTTGCGGAACGTCTGTGGAGATTACAGCAACGGTCACGAGGTGGTGTGCTCGGTTCGGAAAGGGGTCAGTTCAATTCCGTTGAGCAGAAAAAGTCTTCAAACTCTTGTTCAGGGGGGATGACTTTCGACTAGGTGGTGGAGTCGTACTTGGCCTTGCTTGCCAACGCTGCGTTGCTTGGGTGTCCCTCACTTTACATTTTCAGTCCATTTTTCTATACCAAGCTCGTCCGTGGCGGCTATCGACATGATAGGGTTGCGAGATGGACAAAAGATGTGGATATTTTATCGCACGAGATGCTCTTGATTCCTGTCCATAAACATGGAGTGCATTGGACCCTATTGTGTCTCCGAGAACAACGGCTGGAGTACTACGACTCCCTCGTACAAGACGATGGCGGTTTTTTTTCCGATGTGATTGCGAACTTCACGCAATACCTCCGTGACGAAGCAGTTTGTCATTATGGTTCAAAAACGAAAGTGGATCTCCAGGAGCCCAAGGTGGTTGTTTGTGGTGTCCCTCAACAATCGGACGGGTCGAGCTGCGGTGTTTTCATGCTCGCCTTCGCTTCATTTCTTGCACGCGTCTGTCCGCCACCATTTCCGATAGCCCAAAGCGACATTCCAAACATTCGGCTGAGGATTGCGGTGGACATAGTCCAAGGCGTTGAATCATACCACTATTGTAAAAATACGCGTAGTTTTTTTTTCGAAATGCCATAAGCAGAAGTGCAAATCTATTCCCACTTGATCTAGCAGTCAGCCGGTTCGAGTTGTGCTGTTGTTTTCATGAGGTGCCGGATTGCAGTGGACGTTTTGGTCAAGTACAGGCTTAGGTGTCGATGGAAATAACCCAGCCTCGTGCTATATTAATTTTTTAAGAGTTCTTCATTTCGTGGAACCTGTCATGTTTACTCGTAGGACTTTCGGCAGCGCCGTGCTTCCTTTGTTTGTTTTCGGGTTGTTCTCATTGCTTGTCGCGCAACATCAGCTAAAGGGTAGCAGCGGACGCTTACGTGAAGTAGAATCTTAGATGCCGATGTAAATATCCCAGCCACGTGGTGCAGTTTCTTTTAAGTAGACGCTTACATATCGGATGTGAATATCCCAACTTTGTGCTCCTTTTGTTTATTTTCGGGTTGTTCTCCTTATGTCCTCTCAGACCGCGGCAGCACCGTGCTGCGTTTGTTCGGTTCGAGGTTGTGCTCATCTTTTACTCATGTGAAAGATATCAACGATTTATTCTTGGTCGCCAAATTGTTTCGTGCTTATCTCTTTCCTTCGCGAGACTTTGTGGTGTGAAAGTCCCTCTCCCCCGCTCCACCCCGACCACCCAGCTTTCATATGTTTTGGCTCGTCCTTGTTCTGCGTGTGCCGCCCCGTTTTACGGTTCACCCCCTCTGCTTATCTAGATTGAATGATGTATATTGGTTCCTTATGACAGTTGCGAACTTGTTCTCCATTCGGAAACCAATTGTCGCCAGAATGTATGTGTACTTGAAGTTGTTTTACGGATTCAGCGGTGCACTAAGTGATCACCAGTTTTATTATCCCCGGAATGCATCTCGTGCTCTCCACGGAATGCTGGTTGCTGTTTCCATATGAGAAATGCGAACATTTTTACGCTTCGGAGACCGTACATTTGTGATTGAACTGTTGGTTCCATGTGAGAAATGAGAATTCGCACTTTGGCTCCATGTACTTTGTAATATTTGGAAAGCCTCCGTGCATTTTGCAATGAGGGATTGTATGATATTTCACGTTCAATGACTTTTTGAAACGTCTCTGTGTGCTTTGCAATTTGCCCTCGAATGAATTTCTTGCATTGAATGGTTTCTGGTACCTGTTCGTGTGCTGTGACACTTCACCTTTGGAAAAACACTAGGCAACTTGAAATGTCTTCACCTCGATGTTTGTGATGTCTCTGTGTGCTTTGCAATTTGACTTGTGCGTGAAGTTGTTTAACGGATTCAGCGGTGCACTAAATGATTGTCAATTTTGTTATCCCCGGAATACATCTCGTGCTCTCCACTGGATGCTGGTTGTTGTTTCCATATGAGAAATGCGAACATATTCGCACTTTGGATGCCGTGCATTTGTGATTCAACTGTTGGTTCCATATGGGAAATGAAAACATATTCGCACTTTGGCTCCATGTACTTTGTGATTTTTTGAAATCCTCCGTGCACTTTGCAATGTGGCATTGTATGATATTTTGCGTTCAATTTGAAAAGTCTCTGTGCTTTGCAATTTGCCCTTGAATGAATTTTCTGCATAGAATGGTTTCTAGAAACTGATCGTCTACTCTGAGACTTCACCTTTGGAAAAAACAGTGCGCAACTTGAGATGTTTTCACCTCGATGTTTGCGATGTCTCTGTGTGCTTTGCAATTTGACTTCAGATGTTTTCATCTCAATGTTTGYGATGACAAGAGATACTTGTATGAATGGATATGAATYTTCTACACAGAMAGATTTGATGGCGTTTTCAACCTTTGATATAGAAATGACAAGCCAATGTCCATATTAAATCGTCGCGCTGATGGACTGCGCAACTGCTTCTCCATCAAAGTGCGAGTTCAATCGCATTTCTGGTGTCAGCCCTGAGCAATTCCCTCGCACTTTGCTTCACGCCGAGGAGGGGATCGAACGCACCGCCTGTAAGCACCTGCACATCATGAAACAAGAGCACGTCCCAATTGGAACATCGTCGGGTCCTCACCTCCTCGACTCTCAAGATGACTACAGCCAACAGTGGTAGGATGGCAGGTCCGCCTATCCGATGTGGATCTCACGGTGGAATGCGAAACTCTGCTCTCAAAGATCCACACCGGGTAGAAGGTCCTGCAAACAGTCGCTGCTTGCATGTAAGGCATCTTATGATGTGTCGATATAACCGACATCTAGAACTGCTTGGTGAGCATCTAGTGATACGCCAATAAGTTCCAAACACGGCAGCAAAGTCCCCTAAGAGTGTTCTTTGTCGGGTCCTCACCGCATCGACTCTCAAGATGACTACAGCCAACAGCGGTAGGATGACAGGTCCACCTACCCGATGTGGATCTCACGGTGGAGTGCGAAACTCTGCTCTCAAAGATCCACACCGGGTAAAAGGTCCTTCAAGCAGTCGGTGCTTGCTTGTAAGGCATCTTATGATGTGTCGATATGACAGACATCCAGAACTGCTTAGTGAGCATCTAGTGCTACACCAATATATTCCAAACACGGCACCAAAGTCCCCTGACAGTGTTCTTTGCCGGGTCCTCACCTCGTCGACTCCCTCAAGATGACTACAGCTGACAGCGGTAGGATTGCAGGTCCACCTATCCGATGTGGATCTCACGGTGGAGTGCGAAACTCTGCTCTCAAAGATCCACACCCGGTAGAAGGTCCTGCAAGCAGTCGCTGCTTGCTTGTTAGGCATCTTATGATTTGTCGATATAACCTACATCCAGAACTCCTTGGTGAGCATCTAGTGCTACGCCAATAAGTTCCAAAAACACGGCAGCAAAGTCCACTGAGAGTTTTCTTTGCCGGGTCCTCACCTCATCGACTCCCTCAAGATGACTACAGCTAACAACGGTAGGATGGCAGGTCCACCTATCCGACGTGGATCTCACGGTGGAGTGCGAAACTCTGCTTTCAAAGATCCATACCGGGTAGAAGGTCCTGCAAGCAGCCGCTGCTTGCTTGTAAGGCATCTTATGATGTGTCGATATAACCGACATCCAGAACTGCTTGGTGAACATCTAGTGCTACGCCAATATGTTCTGAACACGACCGCAAGGTCCCCTAAGAATGCTTTTGGCACTGGAGTCCTCTGACCGCCAACTGTTTGACACTTCGTGAAGGTTAACACTTCTTGAAGGTGGTCTACCACTCCTTAAAGGTGGTCAGTCACCAAACAGATCACGACCTGATATCGACCTCGATAACTGCGAATTGACTCGCTGTTCAACTAGAGTCTCTCTCTCTCTCTCTTCTCTCTCTCTCTCTCTCTCTCTC